CCATTACCACAGTGTGTCACACTCCCAAGAATCTGTCTGGCACTAGTCCACTTTCCTCAAACCTCATTTGTTCATTGATCCCGGAGACCCCCATAACCCTCCCCCCCCCACCGCCTGCCATGTTCCTTAGTGAGTAGTGCATTGGTTTTAAGGTCACTTATAATACAATTCTCTTTATTTTGTTCCTCATCCTTTAAGGCTACTTACAAGTAAACAGTGAGTCATCTTGTTCTCTCCCATCTGTTCTTCTGGGCTTTGGAAGTTGGTGGAAAAAAGGAAGAATTTGCTTGGGATTTAAAATGGAAGATTTTGGTCAAGGGTAGAATTCAAAATGGGTCACATGATCTATTTCAAATCGTAGTTATGGGCTATAGTGCTTATTGAGTGTTTGCTCGGAATTTTGGAGTGGAGAGGAATCATTGTTTGACATCAAACATTAAAACAGCCAAAAAGAACTGGCAATGTGCCCCAATTGTTGGCTCCCCAATTTCAGAAGCTGGCTTTACTTTGTATTTTATATTTATCACATTCTCCAATTAATATGATTTAAAACACATACCAGTAACAAATAATATATTATCATTGTTATGGTTATTTTATCGATTAGCTAGTATCTGCTCTGCATCTAGTTCTATGGGAGGTCCCAAAGCAAATGAAGTTTAAGAACCACTGCCCCCCTCCCCAGGGATACACAATCTTACTGGTGCAAAGCTGTAAAAAAATGCCATGGGTTCTGAAGACAGAACGGGGCTTGTATGTGAGCTCGCAAAGCTGTTTCCACTGCACATTTGTCACTTGCTGATCTTAATTGTCAACCTGATTGCCTCAAGGGCTAGTAAAGTAACTAGTAATGTAACTCTAGGGGAGCACTGGTGATGGCACGTCTAGATATGACTCGGTCATATGGGTTTGGACCTAATAGGTGGATTGATTAGTCCCTTGTTAGAATCATTATTAGGAGGTAGAGAAAAGCAGTGATTGTGGTCCCTGGAAGAATCAAGTCACTGAAAAAGGGGCTCAAAAATATAAAAAAAGAAAGAAAGAAAAGCAACAACAACAAAAACCAGCCCTAGAGTCTAGAGAACGATGTTCTCCCTTGTCCCTTGTTAGAAGTCCCAGCCGATTTTGGGATGGGAGGGAACTTTCAGTAAACTGAACACAACAATGCCTCCCCTGAACACTGCCTCCATCTCATGTTTAAAAGCTGGAGCATGCGATCAGAGTCCAGCTGCCTCACTTACTGGGTGACCTAAGGCCACTCACTCAACCCCTCTGAACTCTATTTTCCTCAATTACAAATGAAAATGATGATAGTTCCTTGAAGATTGTTTTGAAGCTTTTTAGCAGACAATGAATGTGAATCACACAGGGTATTAAGCACTCAATAGATATTAAGGCAAAGAGAGCCTAAATTCAGAGAAAGTATGATGGGGGTTACTTTAGATTTGGGGAGAGGTGGGGGCCTCTATCCCCAGATATGCTCCACCCCAAAGCACCCATGTTTAGGGGAGGGGAAGTTATATCTCTTCCGTGGTGGCTACTAGCAGCGTGTCCTTGCTTCTGTGCATAGCCTCACTCCCATGCACACACTGGCAGCACTGATGGACTCAGTGGGTGATACAAAAACAAGGTGTGGGAGGGGAGACATGTTGGGAGGGCTGGGGAATTATCAAAGAATAAAAATCTGAAAAAGAAAGAAAGAATCAGCATGGTTATGAGGGATCTTGGATGAAGGGAATCTCAGGCACTGGAAGATCACTGAGAAGGAGACTGTGGGAAAGACCTTTGGGTTGTTCCTACCCGTGGGGCATGCAGATGTCAGTGATATGTGCTGGATTGTGAGTGGTGGGCAACAGCCACAGGAACAGCCGCCCATAGAGACTGGTTTTGTTCTTTGACTTAGAAATAATGTTTTGTGGAACATACATGTGGAATGATAGAAATGGAAGGAGGTGTTGAGATCTCTGGTTCTGGTCTGTCATTTAGTAGATGAGTAAGAACTAGAGTCATGTGATTGCTGATGTGATGGAAAAGGGTGCTCAGCCTGCCTCCATCATGTCAGTGACTTCTCTCTTGACCCTGGATCATTCTCTAACAAGTTTAAAATCGGAATCAGGAGCTTTATTCAAGGAGTTCATGCAACCCCCACAGAAACCCTGAGATATGTCTTGCTTTAAGGACCAGGAACTTGCACTGTCTAGTACCTGTGCAGGACAAGAAGAGTGTGACAGGGACTACAGTTTTGATTTTCTGATTAATGTGGAGGAGTCCCCACTGTCAAATGTACACTGAAGAGGAAGCTTAACTTGTCAAGGCAAAAGGCCTGACTGGGTCTTCCAGAGTGTCAGGGAGACAGAATGGCCTTCAGTTAAGTGCATAAATCCATCTATCTGAGAGCCAGGACAAAAAAAAAAAAAAAAAAAGCATTGCTTATAAATATTAATAGTGGTTTCCAAGCAGCCAGAAGTGATTGTTTGAAGCAGATTCTTGTAAAGAAAAATAAAAATCTACTCTCTAAATTTGTGCTAATGTTAAAGGAATAATAAAAATATTATGAAAATACTAAAATTGATTTCATATATGAGGGCTTCCTGTGGGTTTTATGATAGTTTTTTTTTTAAACCTCCTGCTAAGCAGTGGATTTTCTCATCTTTACTCCCAGTACTTGGGAGGCATAGGCAGGTGGATCTTTGAGTTCAAGGCCAGTCTGGTCTATGGAGTGAGTTCTAGGACAGTCAGAGTGACATAGAGAAACCTTGTCTTGAAAAGTAAAAAATAATAATTATTATTTTTTGCATATGGGTGTTTTGTCTGTGTACTACATGTGTTCCTGGTACCTGCAGAAGCCATAAGAGGACATTAGAGCCCCTGGAACTGGAGTTACAAATGGTTCTAAGTCTCCATATGAGTGCTGGAACTCAAACTCAAGTCTTCTGGAAGAGCAGCCAGTGTTCTTAAACTTCTGAGCCATCTCTCCAGCCCTGTAGTTTATAATTTATAGTGTTTTCTATTATAACTATTCATGCTTGTTGTCAAAATCTGGGGGTGGGATATTTCAATAAACATTCAAAGAATAATCTCATATTTTCACAACCCAGAGATACCACCTCATAGTTTTGGTACCTGTTTTTATTACTACAGGATTTCTCAGAGCAGTTGAGGGTTACAGAATATGGACTGGAAAACATAGAATTCTGACATGCCCACAGTTTCCTGTCCTGTTAACTTTTTATGTTATTGTACTTTCATTCCTGCTCATGAGTCAGTAGTGATAGGCCATGGGAAAGCAACATGTACAGCCTATAAGGGATCCACTTTGGCATGCTTGCTATGGGTTCATCACAAGTGCATAATGACATGGATTCACCATTACAGAATGGTGTTTTCAGGATTTAAGAACATACACAAGCTGGGCAGTAGTGACATATACCTTTAATCGCAGCACTTGGGAGCCAGAGGCAGGCAGATCTCTATGAGTTCAAGGCCAGTCTGGTTATAGAGCTAGTTCCAGGACAGCCAGAGCTATACAAAGAAAACTTGCCTTGAAAAACCTAAAAACAAACAAACAAACAAAAACAAACAAAAAAAGAGCTTACAAAAATTAATTTAGGGCTGGAGAGATGACTCAAGGGGTAAGCACAGTTCCTCTTCTTCCAGAAGACTACAGCTTGGCTCCCAGCACCTACATTAGAAGGTTCACAATCACCTCTAACTCCAGCTCCAAGGGATCTGACTCATTTTGGCCTGCCACACAAATGGAATATACTCACTCACAGAGACACACATGCACATAGATAGACAGACATAAACAAGAGCTGGGGAGGAATGAGCGTGAATATGATCAAAATATGTTATATGAGATTTTCAAAGGAACAAAATTTTGTATTCAAATATACTTAACGTTAATTTAGACTTTTTATTGGTATATGCCTTTATATATTCTTTTGTCTAAAAGAGATTATTCTTTGGTTATAAGTTAGTTTGTAATATTTAGAACAATCATGCGGCTTATTTAAAGGAATTCAAAGGAATCCTCTCAGTAAACCACATGTTTTAAAAGAATGTTCTTGTTCTATGAATTCCTCAGAAATAACTACAGTGCATTTTGGGAAGGGGGGAGCGGCTATCACAGATCCTGGTACAGAAGGGCTGTCTTTCCTCTGCAGTTTCAGTTGAGCCAAGTAAGAAAAGTTCTTTGAGAAAGTTCATAGTTCAGGCCCTTGGAAAAACGGAAGGTCAAAGCATCTTCAGCCCAGTTTCCTTGGACTCAAAAGGCGAGCCCGCTCAGAGAACAGCCATAAGCCTGAGCAGAGTGTGCGAGCCCTGCAGAAGGGGAGCAGTGGGCGTCAGGCGGTCGCCCAGGCGACGGAGCTGCTCTCACCCTCGATGGGCTGGGGAGTTGGCTGGTAAGGAGCAGTAAGAACCAGTGGGTGAGTAGTGCGTGAGTAGACACGGTGATCTCTAGTGGGGCTGGGAAGTGTGGTCCACACAGTCCGGGGCTTACGGGGAGTGGGGGTGGAGCCTTTTTGGAAGCTGAGAGGCGAAAGAGGAGTGGCTAGAGAGGGTGGTAGGGATAAAGGGGCGGAGGTATGACTTGGAGAGAGTGGCAAGGAGGCACAACCTGGAGGTGGGGGATGGGGTGGGAGGTGGAGGGAGAATGTGCCAGGGGCATGGTGAGAGGCGGGGCACGAAGTGAGTTAGGTTGAGGGGTGTCTTTTAAGGCCAAGGGCGTGGCCTGGCGAGGTATGGGGCGGTGGGCACAGAGTGCGCTGCTGGGGCGTGGTTGAGGGAAAAATCTACAGTGGGTAGGGGCGAGGTTTAAGGGAAGATGAGCTGGGAGCGTGACCCCCCCCCCCCCCCGGCAGAGAAGGATGGCGGAGCAGGGGCGAAGACAGCCCCCGCCCCCAGCGGGCTCGGGGCGTGGCTTCAGGGGAGCAGTGTGTGGGCGTGGCTTCGGGAGCGGGCTGGGGGCGTGGCCCGTGGGAGGAGGCGGCTAAACGCGGGAGGGCGGAATCTACGCTGCTCTTTCTGTGGAGGCCACGGCGCGCAGAGCCTGGCGAGCTCGCGGCTGCATACGCGCTGGAACTGGCCGGCGTGCAGGGCTTCTTGGGTATGCGGGCTTTGGAGCTTCGGTGGAAGTGAGGATCGCCGAGGTGAGACTTCCCAGGGAGGCGCTCGGCTCTGCGGGACGGGGGCTCTCGGGTGGGCATCGCGGAGGAACTGAGCGCCAAGGACGGTCTTCGTGACCTGAGGGTGTCCCACTGCCAGCTCCTGCTTGAGCGGCTCGTGGGACCGGACCGGGCTGCTCACCTGTTGCGCCACTGTGTGCGATCCTCCTGGTAGCGGCTGCTCGGTACCACTGAGCTCTCTCGGCAGCGCCCCCCCCGGGAGGGCGCGATGTGTTGTTAGAGCTGGTGGCTTTCCCCCCCCCCCAGGACCGGTAAGGGATTACCCTGAAACTCTATCCACTCGCTCTCCCTGCTGGAAGGGCGGGCTGCGGGGTTGCGCCGGGACGACGGACAAAGGTTGGCCGCCACTGGCCCCTTGAACGTTTCCTTCCTCAGAGGGCGTGACCTGTGCATGGAGGGGCTTGAGGGGTTGCCTTTGGTTGGAGCACTTGGATTAGAAAGCAGATTTATCCCCTAGCCCCTGCTGGGGCTCACCCTGGAAGAAAGACTTCGGGACTCTGTCGTCACGTTCATAGAGAGTGAGTTGGCAGAGTTGGTTTGGCTCCAATTTTGTTGAGGATATGGGGAATTGCTATACTGGCCAGTCTCAGGAAGGTAGGGCTGCAACAGGCGTCGGAGAGGAATTCAGGTGGCTTGTGCTGGCGGGCCACAGTAAAGTTAAAGAGCCGGAGCAAATTTCTTCTCCTAGTAAAACAAACAAACAAACAAACCAAAAATCTCCACAACTAACCGAACCAAACACAAGCGAGCCGAGCTACTATAGTTGCTGCCCAGCATGGGATCTTGGCATTGATAAGTAGAATGGTAATTTGAATTTATTCACTGCTGGTTACTAAGGCTTCCCAGAGCCGTATCTTTCCCTCCCCACCACGAGTTTTCGGGCTCTTTTTACTCCATTTCTGTTGTCTAGTATTTTCTAACTTCTCCAGACCTAGGTTTTTGCTCATCTTTTTTTGATCCCACTCTGAAAGCACAGAAATTTCACCGTTTGCTTTTTTCCCTCACTATCCCCCCCCCAACCTTTCCTAACAAACGCTCCCTTTCTCTTTCTGCTCTCCGACCCCTTTCAAACTTCCTCACCGCATTGTTCCCCCGGTACGGGTTAATTATGCACCCCACCATGTGGGGCTGAACCTTGTTCTCTGCCCCTCCCCCATCCTCTAGAGCCGAAGGGCTGTTGCTTCCCATCCAGTGTTTTAATTTTTCACTCACCTCCTTGGTGAGTGAAATTTGCACAGTTGGCCCCCCATTAGTGAGTAAGCCTGTCCTTTATTTGTGACCTGTGTGTAACACCCCCCCACCCCCGCCCAACCCGGCACTGTTTTCTGCCTTTTTAACCTGCTTCTTCCTGACAAGTACTTCTCCCAGGCACAGCCTGCCAGTGCTTTGGTGGCCTTCCCAGAGCTCACTGGGTCTCAGATCCCTCTTGTGCCTGCCCCCCCCACACACACACCCCAGGCCAAGAACACCATTTAAGTTCACTTTCCTCCTTCCTGGTCAGCCCTGAGTTACTTCACAGACATACTATTTTCCCTGAAAGCCTGGAAGTGTCAGGAAGCTGTTGCATTTCCACAGGAGGCCTTCCACTTTGTCTGTCTGTGCCTATTAAAATAGAATTGGACACGCAGTCCCGCCTGGAGTGATATCGTTATCAACATTAATATGATGATTACATAGCATTTATCACTGTGCCAAACAGTAATACTGATTTAAAATCCTCCTCCAGTCCCTGTAAAGGAAGATTTCCTGCTGTCCCCTTTTGCAGATGGGACAGGGTATGGCTGCTCAGGGAAGGTGAGCCTGCCACAGTCTTGTTTGCTATGGCTCTGTCCTTAGACCACCTTCTCATGGGGCCATGTGACTTCTTGAACTCTGGCCTGGCACTCAGCTTTGGAAATGAGGTTATTGTTTGACATGTTTTGTTTATTTTGCAGTGTATGCCAGTTTAGGGCAGAGTCTACTGTTGTAGGACAGTGTCTGGGAAAGTCAAATGGCTGATGTCCTTCAGAAAGCCTGGGTGTCACTTCATCCATGCCTGCTTCCCATCTTCAGCATAGGGCATAGGGAAGGAAACATCATAAAAAGTATATTGCTAACTGGCTCCTGTGTCAGGAGTTCAGTTTCACTTTAGTAGAATGAACCTGGGGGTTGGGTGGCCTTCCCTCTGAGAGCCATGCGGTTTCGCGAGTCTTTTCATTTCTATTTCATTACATAGTCTTTTTGTTGTTGCTTTTTTTTTTTTTTTTTTTTTTTTTTTTTTTTTTTTTTTTTTTTGAGACAGGGTTTCTCTGTGTAGATCAGGCTGGCCTCCAACTCACAGAGATCCACCTGCCTCTGCCTCCCCAGTGCTGGGACTAAAGGAGTGTACCACCACTGCCTGGCCCTCATTAGTTTTGATCAGATATATCCTGGTTAGTCTTCACATCTACACGTAGGAGGCAAGTTTACAGAAGGAGACTCCTGGAGTTATGGACTTTGTTAGCTGGAAGGGACCTTAGAGCCCACACAGCAGGAAGCCTAGCCAGCCCAGAAACAGACATATCCATAGGGCAGCTGTCGAACCCCAGAACTGGCCCTGGGACCCAGGTCTTTGGACCCCTGGCTCTACAGATTGATGTGGAAAGCAGCTTTATTTTCCTTTCTTTTTCTGAGCTAAATAGCTAAGTGGAACTACACATTTGGAGTAGACATCGTCTGTAGGTTTCTTCTTTTGGCTAAAGCCTTAAGGATTTAAGAAGAAACTGTGTGCTTTTGAGACATGGGATGCACAATTGGAGTAAAGGCATTACAGAATTATGCATAAATGCAGGTGTGTCTAGAAGAATGATTATTCCCAGAGCAGCAGGATCGAACAGCAAAGGTACATGGCTTTCTTGAGGCCGACCATATCACACCCAGGAATTTCAAAATCAGCAACCCATGTGTTTTGCCTTTTGTCTTTCCTGAGAGAGCTGCATCAGCACAAAGATTGGACATGATTTTCATTACCTCTGTACCTCGAATGAAACAGCAGTGCGGGGGAGAAAGGGCAGAGGATAGGGACCTGGTTGGTGCTGGCCTCTGCACTCAGGCCCTTATTTGGGTTCTCACTGCAGCCGTCTGCATTGACTCCCATGGGCACCGTTGGAGAACCTTGAGGATCTTGGTTTTCTGTGGTGCCCATCTTCCAAATCAGCCTTTCTAGATGGAGTTCAGCCCTGAGGGCCCGAGGGTGTATGTGTGTGGGGGTTGTATGTCAGGACTTCCCACTGCACTCAGATGGTTAGCATGCAAGGGTGCCCATGGCTCCTTGGGAGGAGGGAGAACACATCTGTGCATTTCATCTGTGCTGTGTGGTTCACATAGCAGCAGCTGGGTTTCACTGCTCTGTAGTCAATCTGGGGTTCAGGGAAGCTGCCATGCCCAGAGCCCCATGGTCTGTCATGGGCACTCTTCTGTGTATCGGTCTGTGACTGTAGCCTACAGTTTGCCGAGGCAAGTATGCCACCACAGTGGGTCCTCCTGCTTACTGAACTAAAGACAAAGAACAGGGCAGGAGAGCAGGGCCTGTGAGCTTGAGGGCCCGGATAATCTGTTTTGTTTTGGGCCTGCCAGGGTGTGATACTTGTTATGCCCACCCCCCCCCCAAGTAATTGTGGCCGTGTGGCAAATGCTGAGATTTGCAAATGCCTTTTCTGTGTAATTCTGGCTATTTACTGTGGCTGAGATTGTCCACCTTGGTGGATACAGGTATTCATATTCCAGTGTGACGTGATACTGTCACCTCTGCTGATGAGCATCTTAAAGAACCTGGTTTACTTATCAGAAAACAGCCACACATGGCTCAGGAACAGTGTCACTGGGTGACTTTGTGGGGAATGAGGAGCTCAGGCATTGCTGATTTCAGGAATCATGTTCTGCCTCATAATTTCCCCCCACCTCCCTCTTGGGACTTAGCCACAAAATTGATGAGCTTGCAGAGAACTCTTCATATCTAAATGGGTTGAAAGAGCTAGCCTTTCCCCTTAATGGGGTGGCAGAGTAAGTTTGCTGTTGTCCCTGGAGAGGAATCAGAGATTGATTTGACAAGGCCAGACAGGGATTTGGAGTGGGGAGAGACTTGGAAGGTCCTCAGGGGCAGGAAGCTTCCTTAGGCCACCATACCTTTCTCAGACCCTCCTAGTTACGGTGTGACACCTCTGCACCCTACTATATATGGTATTGAACTAGGAGAGAGTCTTTGTTCACCTCTGAAGCAGGTACAAGGAGAGGGTGAAGCCAAGCTGTGTGACAGCACTAGATGGGAAGCCTGTAATGCCATGGACCGAGTACTCAGCCCAGACCTTCTTAAAAAGTCTGTATAAGTGACAGAAATGAGGCATTCTGTTGTGTCGGAGTGCTAACATTGCAGTTCTGTCCCATTAAATGGTCAGAGATCAGTCCTTGGTGCTGAGCACACCATACGTGCTAGAGATAAAGGGACCTTGCATCCCAGCTTACATGTGTACTTTTACACACATCTTTATGGGTTAGGACTTCTCTGTGGCAGAAGAAAAATAATCTCTGCTTTAGAAATGTGCTTGCTTGCCTCCCTTCAAGGGATGGAGTGTTCCCCTGTAATGTTCTCATCCATGAATGGTGCAGTGAGTGATGAGGGGAGACATTCCGACTTGTGGCTCCTGCTGTCACAGTCACATGTGGGCGTGTTGTCTGTGCTGGTTTGCAGAGACACGTGTACCTAACATGTATTGGGTGGTGTTTATGTGCTAGATCCTAATCCGTCTGGAACAGTTTTCATGGAGAGGTTCGTCAGCTTGTGTAGCAGGAGGGGAGTGTGTGTGTGTGTGTGTGTGTGTGTGTGTGTGTGTGTGTGTGTGTGTGTGCGCACAGTTGTGAAGAGCACATGGTGTGGTAGTAGCACAGGAGGGAGTGGGGTTCCCAGGAGCTCCGAAACAGGGGAGGGCCTTCCTGGAGATGAGGAAGGC